TATATATATATTATTTTATTTATATATATTTAGATTATTCCATCAGGAAATTCTTGGCCTTCTCTTTTCTTATGATACTAAACACTTTGAAAAGAAAAAAAAAAATGCTCATCGAAGTAAGTCTGCACCACATACACTTATTTTTCTCAGAGAAGTCTCAATAAGCTAAAAGTTGGTTATTATGAAACTTTTCATATCTAGAGAAACTCATTTGTCAAAGTAAACTAGACCCAAAAATATGTTCACAAGGTGTTCTGAGAAGAATCTTATCTATCAAGTAAATGCAGTAAATGTGGCTTACTACATCAGCAATGATATAGTTATGCTTAAACTGATGATGTCATCTTTACTCTGAATAGTTACGAATTGTCTGTCTTGATTTTTTGTCTTGTATAAAGTATCCATTATGGCTAATTCTTTCAACAGTTTCCTTTTTCTTTAACTCTATTATCTGTTTTCTAGTAACTTCCAACTTAATAGTAGTTGCTTGCAACCTTGTTGGGAGTAATTTGAATAACTAACAATGAAAAAAAGTTGAAAAGTTTTATCAGGTTTTATCTTTGAATATTTGTACTCATTTCTTTGTTCACTCTTTGTTTTCATGCTTTTGTCCTATTCACCTTCAACAGTTGATATTCATTATACAACTTTTTCATTTACCAGAATCAACTCTCTGAATCAAGACTCTTGTTTTGCTCTAAATCGTATTAATATTTTTAATTGTGCAATTAATACTGACCTTCAGAATTAGGGTAGTAAAAGATGGGGGCAGCAAGAAGGATCACCCTTCATAGCTGATCTTACTAAAAAGAATTGGTTGATGGTCATGCTGACAATCCAAACTTCTGCAGAGCTACTTGTTGCAGCTGCCAAAAGTACCTGCCAGTGCACAGTGGGCCAGAGATTGGCATAAATGCCAAAAATGAGTATTTGTGAAAACTTTTTTTTTTTCAAAATTTTAAAAGGAAATACCCAACAATAAAAAAATCTGACGTTTAAATATTTTCATTTTTGTTTTAGAAGAAAGTTTCATACTGTGAAAGTTTTCATTTTTGTTTTAGGAGAAAGTTTCATCCTGTGAAAGTTTTCATTTTTGTTTTAGGAGTCCTGTGAAAGTTTTCAAGCTTGTCCATTAAAAAATTAAAAACAAAAAAAACAAACAGAGAAAATACTCATAAAATTGAATTTCACCTCGTAAGCGCAGTTTTCTTTAACTTAAAATTTTAGAGTCTCAATAACAGACTACATGCTTTATTATAGAAAACTTAACAAATAAAAATAATCTTGTATTTTATAACTTTTTTTTTAACTTGAAATATGACAGTTAAAGTATTACAAAATATAAAAGGCTCAAGATCTTTTTTCGCCCACGTTTCCCTCTATGGATAACTTTTTTACAGAGTCTTATTATTGTAGAAGTTGCTGCCGTCATATAAGTTGTAGAATTGAATTAGGAGAGTGACAAGTTAGGGGAGAAGATGCTAAAGAAATTGTTATATAAAAAATGACTATTGTTCAACAATTGTAGATAGGCTAAAAAGCAGCAGTTCAGGTGCAACAAATGATGGCACGAAAAGTATTAACAAAGATAAAACTTTAATTAAAACTTTTTTTTTAATTTTAAGTTTTGTGTATTTTTACTTTGATTTCTGATAAAATATCTAATAAATAAACGTTTCTTTGTTTATAAAAAAAGGGGTCTCACACGTAACAAACATTTTAATTAATTATTGCTTCAAACCTGGGAAAAACAGTTTCTAAAAACAACTAAAAGTTATGTCTAAAATCCCTAACACCCTATGCATCATTTTCTTTTAAGGCGTTAAGGGTGCCTGCATCTGCAAAAAAATAATAATCTTTTTTTAAGCTGATCTTCATAATGACTAGAGTCACTGATAAAAGATTCAATTTGACAACTTTAAAAATAAAAGAGTTATGACTTTTTGTCTATTTTATGTCGATCTTGGCCCACTGTGCAGTGATATAAAAAAGTAATAAATAGTAAATACTATTATAATAATGCTGTTTATGAATTGTTTAATTATCTTCATTATGTTATTGTACATGATGTTCAACTGTTCAATTTATTTAAAAAACAACAATAACTGTTTAAACGCCTCAATGTGAATGATAAATAATATTAAACTATGATAAATAATATTAAACTAATCAATTTAATAAACAAAAGATTATAAATTAATGGTAAATAATAGCAATTTTATATTTGTTATATGTGCAAAAGGATATGATACAAATTATTTAAGCTTTTCTTCATTAGTTAAAACAAGAATTCAAAAATATTTAGAAAAATTTCAATTTTTAAAAACTATTTGCTGATGGCTGCTGTTTACAAAGTGCACTAAGAGATAGCACAATTACTTGATGTCACAGACAAATTCTTTAGAAAAACAAAATTAAAAACAAAGTTGTATAAACAATGTATAAAAATGTATAAACATTTAATTTCTGCTAAAATGTTGTAAATGTTGAAATCACACAAAAAGTTGAAATCCTATCGACTCTTATTTTGGAAAATTCAAAAAATTAATAGTTAAAATTTTTCCCTCCCTCTAATAAATTGCATGAAGTATTTTTAGCAGTACAACAAAAGAAAGAATTATAAAAGATTACAATGTTGCATTGATTAATAAAAATGAAATTCTTCAAAAAAAGAAATACTAGAAATTGTAATTGCAAACCAAAAATTGATTGCCCTATGTATGGAAAATGCTTATTAAAAAATATTATTTACAAATGAAGAGTTAACAGGAAAAAATGGTTAAAAAGTTTTGAGAAATTATATATTGATTTATAAAATTCTTCAAATAAAGCAAAAAAGTCTAAAAATTAAAAAAATATATACTTCTTGATTAATTTATCTAAAGTTAACATGTTAAACAAAATGTTGTAATTTTTTGAAAACAATTTTTTCACTTAATTTTATACAAAGACTTTTATAAATGATCAATATAAATAAAATCAATTATATTTCAAAATAAGTTATAACATTGCAAGGAAATTTACAATAGTACAATTACTAATATAAAAAATATATACTTTTACAAAACTTTTTCAATGTGACTATGCCATTTTTTTCTCTGTGCTCTTTTAAAATAAATATTTATAAAATTTTTAAATAATAATGTTTAAAATAACGTTGATAAACATTATATTAGCTTAACTGAAAACGAATGAAAAAAACTTTACACCAACCACCAATAGTCTTTTAAACAAAAAACTTAAAAGTTACTATGTTATCAAAATATATTTGTGAATCAAAAGTAAAAAACATTAATTTCAAATTAAACTGGTCTATTCTAAAAACTGCACCAGCCTATAATAATATTTCCAAATAATATATGCTAAGTTTGCAAGAAAAATTGGAAATAATTACCCAAATGGATCAAGAAAATTTACTAAACAAAAAAACTAAATTAACTTCTAAATGCATGAAAATAAATGTCTTAAAAGAAAAAAAAAATTATAAAAGCAAATCATTAAACCAAAATTATCCTTATTCCAAAAAATTCTTTTTCACAATTAATTTTTTGAAAAATAATGTAGTTAATGTAGCTTCTTGGTTGCAACATAACTACAGTTTTTATAAAATCAACTATAGCAATTACTAAATTTCTGTGAAATATTTTTTCTATAATTTGAGTTTTTTGATATTAAGACATTCTTCCTGATGGATCTGCTAAAGGGAAAACAGACTATCGAAGACAGTTTTCCCTTTAGCAGATCCATATATATATATATATATATATATATATATATATATATATATATATATATATATACATATATATATATATATATATACATATATATATATATATATATATATATATATATATATATATATATATACACTTCACCGATGATGTCATACTGTATCATCATATATATATATATATGTATATATATATATATATATATATATATATATATATATATATATATATAATATATATATATATATATATATACACTTCACCGATGATGTCATACTGTAGAGAGTTGCAGAGGTTTCAATACATACATCAGTTAAGCTACATATACAGGATATACAGTAAAAAAAAAGGGGCTTTTTCATTATTTTTCTTTTTATAAAAATCTGTTTGGATTTAAGTTGGCATTTTTTTTTTTTAATTTTTATGTTAATTCACTTATCCAAGGTCAAGAAGGCACTATAATTGAGGAGGCTACTTTTATAGTTGTGGTTACAACTCTATAACTTTGAAACACAAACCTTGACAAACAAGGCTGCTGTGTGGAGAAATAAGTTGAGTACGGCACAACCAGGGACGCGGTGGGGATCGAACTCGGAACTTCTTGCTTATGAGGCGAGCGCTCTACCCCTACACCACTACAGCGCTTCTTTAAAATTTAAGTGTGGAAAATATTAGGACAGAGTTGCTTGTAATCTATCTAAATATGTAAAGATAACAATGAAGAATATTGAAAAAAATTTATAGAATATAAGATAAATTTAGTTATATTTTTATATAAATAAATTTACTTTATTCTCTGTATTTCTTCATCAAGAGTGCTCAAGTAGATAATATTTAAAAAAAAATTATATATATATTTTTTTAAATAATAATAAAAAAGACTAAATTAAAAATAATATATTTTTATAATATAATTAATAATAAATAATTAATAAACCCATGCAACATCATTAATGACATCATACTAAAATAGCCATAGGTAGGTATTACAGTAGATAAATTGACTGAGGGTTAGGTATTAAGTAGGAGGTACCTATGTATAAAAAAAATTATAAAAAATTTTATAACCATTTTTTTTTCTTTTTCTATAGCTATTTCTTAGCTATAGAAAGTAAAACATTTGTTTTTTAACATCCTCAATGAAAATTTATACAGACCACAGTATAAGATATATTTTACAGACCACAGTATAAGATATATTTTTATTATTCTATATTACATTTAGATTGAGTTTATTTATAAAAATTTTGTTGATAATGAACTTACTTAATAAGTCTGTGGAAAATTTTTCTTTATCATAGTTTTCGGTATCATGGACTCTCAATAAAACTCCATTATATGCAGCTTCTTCTTCTGTAAATCTTTTAAAGTTTTCTTGAAAAAATCGTTTTACTATTGACTGATTTAGTTTACCATATATAATACTTTTGCATCGAAACATATTTCCATTTATCTAAAACCTTATTAAGTATATATCATGACTTGTGTTAAAACAATTTTAGCCTAAAAACCCTACAAAATATTCTCTACATGGTAAGTAAGCATCTGATGATATATAAGTGTGAACAAAATTGTATATTAACATTGACACTGTCTCATTAGGTTTCAGTTTGTTTTGATTATCTAAAGTACCACAATGATGTCATTTTTTTTTCACATGGTTAGTGATGTCATTTTTTGTCATGCGGTCTCTCCATTAAATACAATAACTGATCAAAACCTAATGAGATGGTATTTATATCAAAATGCAACTTTGTTCATATTCATATATCATCAAGCATCACTACATCTAAAAGTAACCACTACATAAATCTAAAAATTATACAATAAGGGTGTAATATGACAAATATGACACCCATGTAATATGACAAACATGACACCAAATGTGACACCTGAATATGTTGATATTTTGCAATTGTTGTTGTTGATATATACAGGAGCTTCAAAAAATTTAAGAACTTTGTAGGTGTAAAATATAACACAGGGTATAACCAAATTTAATTACTGAAAAAACTCTAGCACTAGGGTGGTTTAGAATTACATAGCAAAAGTTTTAAGAGTTACTAACCACTTTCCACAAGCCTAACTTTGTTCTGTTATATATAAGAACTTTACAAAAAACTATTTGATCAGTTTAAAGGGTCAACAAATTTAACACAATAATATAATTTTATGCCTTTCTGGGATATCATACAAACTAAATGATCTAGTTCTTTGATGAATTTTTAAATAACAGTGGTCATGCTATTAGCAAATAGTTTAAAAAAACAAAAACTCTCCAAGTATTTTACTTTTAAATTTTTATTCAGAATATAGAAGAAAAAATTAAGAGGTTAGTAACTCGCACGAGCTGCCTAATGTACATATCACTATTAATTAGTCACCATGAATAATTAATAAATATTTGGTTATTAGCTTGTTGGTATCAATTTATCAGTAACATATTGACCCCTTAAAATAATTTTTCTTAAAACAATTTTTTTTAAATGAAATTGAATATTGAACAATTGAACATAATAGTTAATAAACATAGATATTATGATTTTTTTTTTTTTTTTTTAACTTTTTTATTATGATAATATTTTTTTTTTTTTTTTTTTTGCAACCACAAGTAGGTACTTTAGGACATAATAGCAACTGCTAAGAGAAAATCTGTTGGAGTTTGGCTTGTGGCCAAGACCACTAACCAACTTTTCTTCTGCATGATTGCCTGCTCATTTACTACAACCATTAAATGAACAATAAATATCAACACAATATTTTTAATTCAATATAAATTCCAACACAAATGATTATTTTTGGTGGGAAAAAAAGAATTTTGTTTTATGAATATCAGCTGTTAAAGATGAATAGAACAAAAAACATAGGAAAGCTGTAGAAGTTAAAAGACAACTTGATGGAACTTTTTGACTTGGTAAAAAGTATACTTCGAACATACTTTACACAGAGACAAAAGGCAGATAATTCCTATACTCAATTAAAAAATTGCTTTAACATCGTAAATTAACATGTTGTTTTTCTAAGAACACCTCCTGGGCCTAGCTTTCTTTGACAATTGAGTCCCTCTAGATGTTAAAAAAACCTCAATCGTCAATCTCCAGTTTCCAAAGACTCTAATAGCTATAAAAAGAATAAGCATGTGTAGCGCAAATTCAACAGTCTTAAAAAGTTGGTGACCTAAAGAATATTTTGTTTCTTTAAAGTGTTTAGTTCTTATTCAAAAATACAAAGAAATCCTCACCAAAGATATGGGTTAAAAATAGTTTCTGCTTAGTCTTAGCAGCTATGATAGCAAAAGATGATTTTGCGAAAGATTTTGTAGAACTAGATCATACGAATATGTTTTGAAATCACTATTATAACAATAACAAGCATCTTTATTCTGATGTATGACCTAATGATTATTGATCATATGTCTTTGACTTGCTCAATTAACTGACACATAATGGTACATTTTTTATTTAAAATATTAAAAAAGTCAAATAATAAAGTCAAAACTTTTATAGAACCCTAAGTATTGTATGCATCTCTATAAACATACATACATACATACATACATACATACATACATACATACATACATACATACATACATACATACATACATACATACACACATGCATACTTATTAGTACACAGATATACACTAAACACATACTTACTCTAGCACATACATAACCACACACTTATTCTAATACACATAAACTCTAATACATATGTATACATTTTAAATCAATAAAAAAGATAGCGTATAAACTTTTTTTAACATATTATTATTCATGAATATAATTAAGTCATTATAATTAAAAAATGTTTATACACTGCTATTTTTATTGAATTCAACTTATAAATTTATATGCATATACTTTATAAGATATAGCTAAGAAGTAAATATATAAATATATAAAATAGCATGACTGAAAAATAAAAAATATTTTTTTTTTTTTTCATAATTTCAAAATAAATATAAAAATAGAATTTTTTGATAAAAAACAACAAAGGATAAGATAAAGATAACAAAAATAAAATCAAAAATTTGCTTTTGTAATTTTTTTTAATATTTTAAATTATATTATTCAAATTTTATGAACCCAAAATTATTTTACAGCAGAACATTGCAATATTGGTAGCATTAAATTATAAGAACTTTGCAACAATGTTGCACAGTTTGAAGCCTCTAAATATATATCAGAAAGAAGAGCGGAAGATCCATTTTTATTCGCAGCTATTTCTTCAGCATAAGTATTTGCAAATCCTAAGATTTCATTAGTGAACATTTCTGCAAGCTGCTTTAATGTGGCAGCACGCTCTTCAGAAGAAGCTTTTGCTTTAACATCAGTTAAAATAAGCAAATCAGCAATTTTTCTAAAATACTCAACAAAGCGAGACAGTAGTTCAGCTAATACAGAAATAACTTCTTCAACAGATTTATGTGCATCAATAACTTCTTTTTTATCTTTTAATTTCTGCCATGTGTTTAATAGCTTTGAAAAAGTAATTTTTAGGTTTAACTTTTTAGACAGAGATATAATATCTTTCTTAAAATCCATTTCATTTGTGCATTTGTCAACATTCTCAAGTTGAAATTTTTCTTTTATAGAAATGAGTAGTTTCAAGCTCTCTTTCTTCACTTCATCTGACTGCATTGTTAAAATTCTCTGTAACTTTTTTTCACATTCATTTGACAGCATTACTAAAGCATCTAGGTGAGCAGAGCCTTGATATCTTTCAAACATATTGTCAAATGTAACATTATTTTCTTTAGTTAATTGATTTTGTTCTTGGTTATTTAATTCATGTTTTAGTTTAGCATCATTCAGCACCATTGATAAAGTTTTTTTTTCAAATTTTTGCCTAACGCTTCTTAGACCTGGATCACCATCTGATAAAATGTCCACTGTTTTTTTTCCAATAAACTCTAATGCTCCAATACTTCCAGAAACCAGATCTTGACCAGTTGCTTGAACAATACTTGTAATTGGGTAGAGACTAGATAACCATGAAGAAAAACCTAATAATAAGTGATAAAGATTGCAATCTAATTATAATGTTCCAATCAATCTATTATCTTAAACTTATATGCTTTAAGATTACAAAACATTATTGTTAGACAAAACTAAGAACAAAATTAATGGTATTTTATAAATTTATTATTTCTTAAGAAAACAAAAGATATCACTTTTATTTAACATGATTAACCCTTTTTAAAACTTGTCAATTATTATTTATAATAACCTGAACTTGGTGCATTAGTCTCAAGAGGCTTTTCGCTAATGCAGTTAGCATTTTCTTTAACTGAATTTAAATTATCCAGAGTAAAATTACTTTCAGATTCTTCTTTGATAAACTTTGCCATTTCTACTGGGTCTGGAATTCCAAGTTTATCCTCTAAAGATTCAACAAGCACTGAAACTTTATTAGTGGCTTGCTGAATAATATCTTCAGCCCAACTATCCCATGCCCAATCTTCCGACGATTCATGTTTTGAAGCTAGTTCAATTTTGCTTGATTCACTTGAAAAAGCATAGAAAAACAAAAACAAAATCAATTGAAAATTTTCTCATTAAATATCTAATATAATAAAATAATTTATTATTAAATAATATAACATAACATCTGATGATAATATAATACCTCATATATTTTTATTATATTTCTTGTTATTTTTATCATATTTTTATTATATTTCCTCTTAATTTTATTATATTTTTATTATATTTCTTGTTCTTTTTATTATATTTTTATTATGTTTCTTTTTAGATCCCATCTTATTTAGATATAAACTGAATTTAACTACAACAAAAATTACAAATGTTATATATAAAAAAAAAAATATTGGAAAAACCATCTAAAAATTTATGAGAACAGCATATCTTTCAATTTAATTTTTTATATTTGATGTAATGCTTGATTATCAAAATCAACTATCCATGCTTTTTTTACTTTGGTTTAACTTTTACATGAGCTCATATTTTTTCCTTTTTAACTTACCTACAGGTTATTAAAATTAAATTTTCAAATAACAATAAATGGTTGTTACAATTGTAACATGTTTTTTAGTTGTTACAATTGTAACAACTAAATTTATTTTATTTTTTCTATTTCTTTAGCAAAAGTGCTCAATAAATGATATTATAGTTTTATGTTTTATTTTGAAATATATATTTTATATAAATATTTCAAAATAAATATATATTTAGATTACCCCCATTTTTCCTTGATTTAGACCATCCAGGAAAGATGGGGGTGGGGCAATTTTTTGATTCTGTGGATTCAGGCTCTAAAAAAGCAAATCTATATAATAATGCTAAACTAAATAGTAGTAGTAGTAGTAGAGTAGTAGTAGTAGTAGTAGTAGTAGTAGTAGCAGCAGCAGCAGCAGCAGCAGCAGCAGTAGTAGTAGTAGTAGCAGTAGTAGTAGTAGTAGTAGTAGTAGTAGTAGTAGTAGTAGTAGTAGTAGTAGTAGTAGTAGTAGTAGTAGTAGTAGTAGTAGTAGTAATAGCAGTAGTAGTAGCAGCAGCAGGAGTAGTAGTAGTAGTAGTAGTAGTAGTAGTAGTAGTAGTAGTAGTAGTAGTAGTAGTAGTAGTAGTAGTAGTAGTAGTAGTAGTAGTGTCCTTTAGGGCGTGTTTGACACAGAACTCATGGCAACCAAGTGTATGCAAATATTTAACGTACAAATTATGTAATTTTAAAACATACTTAAACTTATATCAAGTTTTACAGTTTGACTTTTACTTAAAAACTACATTGCGTTAACCTCTCCTTTATTTTGATCTATAGCATTTATTTCCATTAAAAAAAATTACTATATAGTTTTAAATTTCATAAGTCACAGCGTGACCAAGTGGTTACGCGCAGTGCTTCTGAACAAAACAGCAATGGTTCAAGTCCTACCACTTGCAACATTTTTTTTTTAATTTTTTTCAAAAATTTAAAAAATACAAAGTTTTTTAAAATACAAAAATTTTTTAAAATACAAAATACTTATGAAGTTTTATATAGATTATATACAAACATATATAACGATATTATACACTTTAACAAACAAAAAGATTTTTAAAAATGCTAAAAACTCTAAAAACATCAAAAAACGGGGGAATATTAATCCCCGAAACAACACTGATAACATTGCACTAAACCCTTGAGCTATCAATGATATGCATTTAGGAAAAAAACAAACCTAATAATAAATCTCTTATAAGCTCTAGGAATGCGGAAAAGGTGTGCATGTTAATTTTTTTGCTCTTAAAGCTATTTTTCAAAATGAATTATTTTATGTAAAAATAATGAAATAAACAAATAATAGGTATAGAAATGATTGGTGTGGAATAGAAAAGTATATAAATAGTAGGTTTGGTAGAGACCCGTATTTTATGGGTCCAGAAAGCTAGGATATATGAATCGCTAACTTGAAAAATGGGACATGTCCTGCAAAAATTCACATAATATGTCCCCTTTTTCAAGTTAGCGATTCATATATATGAGGAAAAAGTATAGAAAAGTTCAGTGTGGATAAGACTTCCAACATTTTTACGGGTAAGATCAGCTAGTATATGTATTATTATGGAGACTTTCAGGTTCATATCATAAGACTTTTTTAGTTAGTTTTTTTATAATATTAGCCTTTCAATGTTTTAATTTATTTAACTTAGAAATTATGTCATATTAATATCCCAACAGTCAATTTTTTTTGCACTACACAAAATTATTAAAATTTCTTATCAATTTTAGACCGCCTAACAAATTTAGTTCTATTTTCAAACATCATGATTTTTTAAATATATAAATTTACAAAAAAAATTATTTCCAAAATATCTTAGTAGAGGAGGAAAATTGCCTTTCCGTGGATCCGCTCTTGTATGTATGTGTGTGTGTATATATATATATATATATATAAATATAAATATATAAATATATTTATATATATTAATATATATATATATATATATATATATATTTTTTTTTGTCTGGTCAGGTTTATCCTGCTACTGGTAACATGTAACCCAGTACAATCTGCTTCATGTCCTGCTGCCTTGTAGGATATGCTTTTTTAGGCAAAGGCTAGGAGATGCAAACTCCGACATAAAACACCCCCTGCCTTGAGGCTCTTGGTTGAGTAAAGGCTAGAGATGGTGTTTCGATAAAAATACTCATCTTGGGCAGATGTTACATGCATCCGGCTGCTGTCTTGTAGAAGGCCTCCTAGGCAAAGACTTAAGGGGTAAACAGATCCTATCTGTTGACCAGCCTCGCACCCCTTCGTCATCTATTAGGCTGGCGCAGTGTATTTTTAATACATTGTTTCCAGTTTAGGATGTTGAACGCTGGATCTTCTTGACTCGATTCATCGGGTTTTGCTTGTGTCTCTGTTTTTATGACTAGGCAACTCATTCTAGTATCTCCAAATGAGGGTACAGCTCTAAAACTCAGTTTTATGGTTCTGAGGCCGGCTGGTAGTCAGGTTTCCCAAACTCTGTGGTAGCTCTCAGAGAGGCTGATTCAATCAACAGCTGAAAAATATCAGAGTACTAACAGTGCCATGTTGCGCATGGATGGTGTCCCTGTTTGTACTTTTGGTGTGCATTGCCAAGGCCACATTGGAGCCCTTTGTTACGGCTTAGGGTTTATTAGTGGTAATGAGGCAATTGCTTGAGCTATAGAACAGCGTACTGAGTACTATCAATGTTTCGAGTCAAGTTCTTTAACAAATTTAAAAATGAATAAAGTAACAAAAACTATAAAACACAAAAAACCACAGTCATCACCAAGTTCGCTAAACCTATCATTCACCAATATTCGTGGTCTTCGAAGTAACTTTTCTTCTGTTGAGTCTTATCTCTTGCAAAGTTCACCAGACCTGCTTGCTCTTTGTGAGACTAATTTGAGTTCAGCTGTCTCATCTTGTGATCTTAGTGTTGATAGTTATCTTCCTTTAACTCGTAAAGACTCCAATAGTCACATCCTTGGCCTGGGCATTAACATTCGTAAGAATTCACCCATTTGTCGGCAAACTAGTTTGAAATCCACAGACTACTCTTTTATGTGCTTTCGTTTAGCACCACTTCACTCTATCACCTTTCTCTTTGTTCTATATCGCTCTCCCTCATCCCAAGACTGCACTCTTCTTGATGTTATTTCTGATTATATTGACAAAGCCCTCATTCTTTATCCATCAGCCAATATTGTTGTTGTCGGTGACTTTAATGTTCATCACACTTGGCTCTAGTGTCAGTGACTCTGCAGGCATTAAGGCCCACAACTTTTGTCTTTCTCAATCCCTAACTCAAATAGTCAACTTTCCAACTCGCTTTCCAGACAACCTGAATCATTTACCTTCTCTACTCGACTTTTGTCTTGTTTCTGATCCTAGTCAGTGCTCAGTTTCTTCACACTCACCCTTAGGTGCGTCTGATCATGGTTTGGTCTCTCTAAAACTATTATCTCATTTTTCTTCACCATTAGAATCCCCCTATCATCGTACATCTTACAACTACCTTAAAGCTGACTGGGACTCTTTTCGTGACTTTCTTCGTGATGGCCCCTGGGTAGAAATCTTTTGTCTCCCTGTTGACAAATGTGCTTCTTACATAACTTTGTGGATTCAGGCTGGCATGGAATCCTTTATTCCCTCTCGACGATTCCAGGTCAAGCCTCACTCTTCTCCATGGTTTTCTTCACATTGTGCTGCTGCGATTGCCAATCGAAACCATTACTTCCATATCTATCAGCAAAACAATTCTCCAGAAAACAGACGCCTCTTTATTACTGCTAGGAACCATTGTAAAAAGGTTACATATTGTCACAATAAGAAACCAACTCCCATCAGAGGGAGTTGGCTTCTTATCGTGACAAGAATAAATGGTAGTATCATCAGCGAACAATGCCACCTTAGATGTGAGAATATCTGGCAGATTGTTAATGTAAATTAAAAAGAGTATAGGGCCAAGGATTGAACCTTGGGGAACCCCTGAGGTTATAGAATAAGAAGAAGAGTGCTGTCCATCAAGGACAACTTTTATACTACGATTGGAAAAAAAGGATTCAATAATCTTAAAGTTGTTTCCAGATACACCATAAGAAGAAAGCTTATGGAGGAGACCAGCATGCCAAACTTTGTCAAACGCTTTAGAAATGTCAAGAACAATGGCCTTAACCTCTCCACCTTTATCTAATGCGCGATAAAACCTATCGGTTATTACTGATAGCAAATCAGCCGTAGAACGAGAAGATCGAAATCCATACTGATGATCAGAAAGAAGGTTATGAGATTCGAGATGAGAGATTAAGTGTTTGTTAATTAAAGATTTAAAAACCTTGCTTATGATAGGAAGAAGACTAATGGGACGGTAGTTAGATGAGTCAGATCGAAGCGAAATTCGATATTTCATGATCTGAGAATAGCGGGTTTTGGCGTTAGACAAATCAGTAACTTTCAACACTAATTAGTAATTGCTTGCAGCCTTGTTGGAAGCGAAGATGTTTAAAAAAAAAAAAAAAGATCAGACCTTGTTTG